GTGCTGGCCTGTCTGTTGTGCCTAGGTAGGGTTGCGACGTGTTGATCTTCCGAGGCCGGGCATGACCTAGGAAAGTGTGTCCGGCCAGAGGGATCGAGCGTGTTGGGTTATGTGGTGCACTCCTGCAGGGAAGTTTATCCATTCGAATAGCCGTGTCCCTCGGTAAAAGGACGACCCGGAGTTGTACCTTGACCTTACGAGAACTAGTCCCGGATACTTAATAAAACACACCCAGACAAGTTCCAGAGACAACCCGATGATCACTTTCCCACAGGGCGACGAGGGGAGGATCGCCAGGTAGGATTATGCTATGCGATGATACTTGGTTAACTTACCATCTACTCTCTTCTACATGTTGCAAGATGGAGGCTGCCAGAAGCATAGTCTTTGATAGGACTACCTATCCCCCTCTTATTTTGGCATTCTGCAGTTCAGTCCAACGATATTGCCCCTTTACACAGATACCCATGCATATGTAGTGTAGATCCTTGCTTGCGAGTACTTTGGATGAGTACTCACAGTTGCTTTGCTCCCTCTTTCCCCCCTTTCCTCTTCTCCTCGGACGTTGCAACCAGATGTTGGAGCAAAGGAGCCAGATGACACCGTTGACGACGACCCCTACTACACCGCGGGTGCCTACTACTACGTTCAGGACGCCGGCGACCAGGAGTAGTTTAGGAGGATCCCGGGCAGGAGGCCTGCGCCTCTTTCGATCTGTATCCCAGTTTGTTCTAGAAATCTTATGGAAAGTTGCTTAACTTATGTCAGTACTCAGATATTGTTGCTTCTGCTGACTCATTTATATTGTTGCTTCTGCCACCCCATGATATTCTCTCTGTCTTGCGCCGCTCAACCATTGTCGGGGCGGGATGGACCTACAGATCCATCAAGCCGCAGCCCACCACACACGCTCGCTATCACAACCCCTCTTCTTCTCCCTCGACTTGCTCCCGCCGCCGCCGTACGCCGATCTGGCTGGCCTGCCCGCCATCCCGCCCTCCCTATTGGCCTGCTGCCGCGGAGGGCTGGCCACTGCCACTCTCAGACCAACAACCCCTTCAGGTTCTCGCAGCTCAGCCCACCCCTGCCGCCCCTGGTGCCGATGAAGCACGAGCCGGCCATGGGACAGGATGGCGGGGCAGATTGGAGGGCGACGACGCTGCGTTCACTACTAGGGAAAACCTTATACACAGAACCTTAGCAGTAGCGGGGGTTAAAAAGAAGCGATGCTGGTACTTAGCAGCAGCGCGTATACACATAAGGCATTGCTGCTACATATATAGCAGTAGCGCGGCAAGGATGAAGGGCGCAACTACTAAAATTGCCAAACCGTTGCCGCCAGGCAAAGTGTAGTAGTAGCGCGTACCCCTGAAACTCGCTACTGATAAGTAGTTTAGCAGTAGCGCTTTCCCCTAACGCGCACTACTGCTAAACCCATCCTATCTTCTTCCCCCAACCACCCCTCACTCTCCCCCTCTCCACTCCCACTCTCACTCTCCCACGCACGTCATCCGCCGCCGCCGCCAACGTACGGCCCTCCCCCACCGCCGCATTGCCGCCGCCGCCCTCGCTTCTCCTTACCCTCCTCCCTCCTCCTGCCACGCCCTCCTCCCTCCTCCGGC